CTTTTTTGATGCAGGTTAGTTGAAGGAGAACCTTGGTCGCGAAGGAGGAACGGTGAAGCTGCCGCACCCGGAGACCCCCCGCTAGTAGGGTTTCAGATTTTGCATTTTTCGACCAACAGAGGGCTCCTAACTTTGTTTTTCGCAGGTTTTATTGTAAAATCGGCTAAAATCAACCTAAACCGACCGAAAACAACCAGGTCGAGAGGAACCACCATCCTAGACGGTGGAGTTGGTGTTGGAACACGGCGGCACTGCCGTGCTGGAACCCTAAATTGGTCGAAAATATTTTTTAAAACATCTATTTTGGCCTTTTGGGATATTTTGGATATGTGACGAGTATTTTTAATTTATGTAAAAAAAATTCAAAAAACTTGGGGACCGCCAGGAGGTGCAGTAAAAAATACAGTATTTCGGGCACCGATTTAAGGTAAGAATTCCTCACATTTTTTTTTCTATTATGGTAAATTGAAACTTAATAATCAATAATATCGTGCTTTAAAAATTAAAAAAATTATAAAATTAATTATAGGTCACTAGTAGAGCTAGAATTGGTCAGTATGTAATTGCTTATTTTATCTGCACTACTCATTTATTGTTAGGTTGTTCGGTTTGTTTACCACATGCACTTTGATTTATTGGTTTAATTACTTTCTCGTTTATTGATTGCTTAACCGTTTATTTTCATCTATTGATTGATTTAAAATAAATACCCTAATTACGTTTCTTAATTGTTAATATATAAATTTATATTATCTGCTTAAATATCGTTATGTTGATCTATAAATATGAAATGAGACGTTGGTATGTGATTGGTGATGGGTTGATGATGTGAATCTATATATGAAAGTCTTACTAGTACCTTAGAAAATGGTGGACAGACCCGGTACATAAGAAAACCCTACCGTGGACATTACCTTAGTTGTATGGAATTGAGAAGTCCCATATCAGAAGGGATTGAGAGGTATAGTTCACCCTCATACCGGATGTGCTACTGAGGCAGTGACATGTTTGACGCCTATTACCGGATGGGGTATAGAAACGACTAGTTAATCAATAACTTGGATATTGGGTCCACGCGTAGGGGGGATCCCTGTGGGCTCCCAGAGGTACAAGTAAGTAGGTAAGAAGGTAAGTTGTTATTATTATTCATTTGAATATGAAATCACAATGTTATTCGAGTTCTTGTCTTCATATATTGGTTTTAAAAACTCATAAGGGTAAGTATGAAATAGCAGTTTTTATGTTAAATGAATTTATTTATGAAAGCAAATGACTCTATTGGTTGTTTTATTATTTTTTTATCAACATTCAGTTCTCTGTATCTGTGATAAGTATGGTATTTTTACTGTATTAATGTAACTCATTTCACTATTTAATAATTTCATATCAAGAAATCAAAATTTAGATTCTGAACAATAAGAGGGTTGCGAATAAAAGGTTATCTCTTGGACTCCATCTGAGTTGTTTAATGGAGGTTAGCCTCATAAGATTTTTATTTTGTTTGTTTTAACCATTTATTTTCTTATTATGAATTGTAAAAAAAATGACATTTCTGTAATCTTATTAGGTATCCTAATTTACTGTGTAAAAAATATAAATTTTAAATTTTAAATTATTTCTGTTTATAGTTGCTATAATTTAATATTTTTATTTTCTTTATTTTTGGAATTTTACAAAATTATTTTAATTAAAATAATAATAAAATAATTTTTAAAGTCTCTTAATTATATTAATCATTATGTGAGTGATTTATAATACATACATAAAATAATAAAATTTTATGTTATTTATAAAATTTAAAATATTGATTTTTAAATATAGTGATAAAATTTAATCATTAAATAACATAAAAAATTAAATAAATGTATATGTATAGATGAAATTGTGTTTCTAAGAATTAAAGAGTGTATATGGTTTTAATTAGTAAATCTAAACAATGTTTGGTCCCTTTCAACAACATGGGCATAGCTTATGGGAAAGGAAAAGTAAATTATTTTTAACGAGCGAGATTAAAAGGAAAAAATGTGAGAGAGAGAGAGAGATAATACAGCAATCATGACGTCTTCTGCAGAATTGATCAATTAGACAAGGCAAAGAAAGCAGTCAGTGGGTCCCATGTCTTTTAATGAGATAGAAAGAAACGACCGCGTTTTCATCCAGTAAACCAAAAACAAAAAAAATTACAGTTGTCATATGGAAAACAGTAATTGCCTTTACTCTACACACTTTTTTTTTCTTACTTCCTCGCTACTTGGAAATTAAATTAACCAAGGGAAAAGACTTAAAGAAAACAACACAGAATTTCATTGCAGTGGTTTTCAGAGTGATTAAGTTGCTTTCAGAAGGGTTTAAAAGTAATTTCAATCCCCACATTATAGTACACAGCAGCAGCAGCACCAATGGGATCTGCAGAAGCCGCTTCGTTAACCAGTTTCCTGGCTCGCAAACAAGTCTCACCTAGAGCGAGAAAGACACAGCATATACATATAATAATATTATATTAAAGCCCAACTCTCTTCTCTCAAACCCTCAGACCAGAAAACTACTCAGTTCAACAACTCTGCAAATGGCAAGTTAGGGTTTCGAAATTCGCATCCCATCAACTCCTTCACTCAGTTCCATACTGGTTTTAAGGTGAGTTTAAACATTAAAACCCTTAACCCCTTAAACACCGACATGTCTCCAAAAAGCTATTTTCTTTTTCATCCCACCTCAAGAACTCTCTGACACCTTCCACATTCTCTTCTTTCTTTCTCTTTCATTCATTCATACAAACTCATTCTTTACATGTATTATTATTTGCTCTTACAGATCAAACCACTTGTCGCTGGAAGAAATCCACTCTATCACCAGCAAAATGTTAGATTACGAATGGGGTAACCCTTCAACCATCATGCTATCGGCTGATGAAGCAAACCCAGAATCCGACCCGAATCGACCCATTTTTGATCACTTCACTAATACAAATTCCACCCACACTCACCAAACCTTCAACGAAAACCTTCTTTCACACCAAGCTTCTGCTTTCTCTAACCACCAACATTTTAGCAACCAAACCCAAACTCAGACTCATCAGCAGCTTCATTCTCTCTACGACCCACGCGCTTACGGCGGCGCGTCTCCATACGCGTCCACCCACCCCGCTCTACTCTCACTTGACCACTCCGTTCCAGGAGGCGGAGGAGGCTACTTCTTGGTGCCCAAGAGTGAGGAAGTCTCTAGGCCCCTTGATTTCACCTCAAGGATAGGGCTTAATTTGGGTGGCCGTACATACTTCTCCTCGGCTGACGATGATTTTGTGAACCGGCTCTATCGCCGGTCTAGACCGGGAGAGACCGGTTCCGCTAACTCTCCTAGATGCCAAGCCGAGGGCTGCAATGCGGATCTGAGCCACGCCAAACACTATCACCGCCGGCATAAGGTCTGCGAGTTCCATTCCAAAGCGTCAACGGTGATAGCAGCCGGGTTGACTCAGCGATTCTGCCAGCAGTGCAGCAGGTTTTATTTTTTCTCCCCTCTTGAATTTTTAACCTTGATATATACATATATATATCTATATGTCTTCCCCATGCATTCGAAAATTTTCAGGAAGATAGAATCAGTAGTTGCTAGTCATGTCAAGCTTGAACTAACCTGGGGGAAGGAGCGATGAAACTGATAATAAAATGTAGTGGAGAGACGAAATTGCCCCTGTGTTCTGTGGTGATGGAGGAGCTAATTATTGGTTTCCCGTACTGGAATAATCCCGTTTTTACGTACCGTTTGGTTTGCTCATTTTTATTTCGCTGATTATTTATATATGTATATATATGGACTTCTGGTAGACCGGATAATTTACTTATTTTGATTAGGTGAGATATGACCAAACACCGTTCAAAATCTCTTTCCATATTTTCATAATCGACTGCAAAGTGATCAAGAAAAAAAAAAAAAGGAAAATGGAAACTAAATAATGCATTTTCTGTAGCCAAATATGTTGAATTGTTGTTGTTGGTCGAAGGAGATGAGAAATCCTGAAATGACAAAAACACCCCTAGGATAATAAACTGGAGACAATGATTGGGTAGATCCGTACATGCGGAAATCCCGAGGGCATTATCGTCTGTTGAACTGACTTTGGGTCTGTTTGGATATTGCGTACTGTTTGCCTTGCCTGTTACGGCAAGTACTCAAAATAGCTTCACAATCATCATCCATCTGCAAATTACTCGTACAGGTTCCATCTCTTATCGGAATTCGATAACGGGAAACGGAGTTGTAGAAAAAGACTGGCTGATCACAATCGTCGCCGGAGAAAATCTCATCAGCCAACTCAAGATCATAACCACAAATCTGTCCCCGAAAATCCTAGAAATTGCACTTCTGATCATCAACTCTCAAGTAAGTCCATACATGCTTAAACCACTAAACCTCCATCATCATGTAATATACTTGAATTATATATATATATATACATGTTTGGTTGGAATATATATAGGATCTCCGCAAGATTCAGGAGCGCAATCTTCTTCCTCCGTGACGGTGGCGGTGTCCCCTCCGAGGATTTTGCTGGACTGTTTCAGACAAAGATCGTATCCGGCAACGGAATCTTCATCGGCAACCGGGGGTTCGTCTCTTTTTTTCTCAACTGGGTAGGATGCTGCGGATGACTAGGAAATCTAAATCATAAATGAATGAATTAGAGGTGTAGGTTTAAGTGTAACATAGGGAAGGAACGTCTGTATTAATTTTAATTGTTCAGTTTAGCTAAGATTTCAGTGTTCTAATCAGCAAATGGGATTAATTGGGCATCTCTATTCAATATTAATTATGTATATGTTCTCCATGTTAGTAAGGAGTGAGAGTTTGGTTTGATTGTTCTAATCAACCCTAATATATATGAGAAAGTAGTTTTATCACTTAAGAATTAATCAACTTTTATTTTAATTATAATTCTTTTTAAGACAAGCATGGAGATATTACTCTTTTATGAAGATATTATATCATTTGAGTTTGATGCTATTGAAAATTAAGGAAAATTTCTAATAATTGTTTGTGGAGATTGTTTTCTCAAGTGACCGAGGAAGAAGAAGATGATGATGATTGAATAATGTGTGTGGAGAGAAAAGGTATAATCCACGTGGGAGGAAAAGATGGGTTTGGTGGAATTTTCTAGGAAAATAGGGTGAATGAGCACGTGGTAGGAATTTTCTAGGAAAATAAAAGGAAAGAGGGAGAGCTGTCTCCTATATGGAAGCTGGCTGGTTGTACTAAGCTAAAGTTATAATAGGAAAAATGAATGAGATTGCCAAAATCTCAATCTCAATATCTCTCTCTCTCTCTCTCTCTTCATCATCACTTTTGTGTGGTTACAAAAAAAGATTGGTAAATTAAAGATGCCAAAAGGGTCAATTCTGGGGTCTACCTAAATATTATCAGAATCACCAATCAATTTTTTTTTAGGTTAAATTTAACCTTAGTAAATTATTATTTTAATTTTAAATTATTTGTTATAGATGTTAAAAAATTTTCTCCTTCTAATTTTATTCTTAAATTTATATTGTAAAACATTTCATAGAAAATAATGAAATTAATTTTTATTTTAATATTTTCTTAATAAAATTTAAAAATTATATCACCTAAAAATGAGCCATGAAAAATAATAATAATAATTTTTTTACTTAAGTAATATAGATGACAATGATAGACACTAAGAAAGAAAAATAGATTTGAAATATCTATTTCTTAATTTTTTAAAACTTTTTCAACCCTAAATAAAAGCATTTATTTAAGTTATTTTTTATTGTTTCTGTAAAAAATAACATTTTAAATTAATTTTTTAAGTTTATAAATTAAGTTGTAAAAAACAAATTAACATAAACTATAATCAATACAACTAATAATTTTCCCAAACCAATTACAGTTAAACAACTAATAATTTTTCCAAATTAATTACATTTGAGAGATTAAAAAATTATAGATTTCACTTTTAGAGATAATAACATGTAAATCCTTTTCCAAATGGAAAAAAAACAAGATAACATATGACTTAAAAGGTACACGATCTTTTATATCTAAAGAAAATATTGAAATGGTACATGAAAAATACAAAATATATATTCATGATTAACTCATTGATGAATTAAAATTTTAAAAATATTATCTACTTGCCTAATAGTTAATCTGAATAATTACTAATCTTTGTTGCTTTTCAATTTCAATTTTCCTTAATGACAATAGAAATATAATATATTTTAATTTAAAAAAGTGTTGTAGTTTTAGCTATATGTAGTTCGAATTAATAAATTGATAACTATAAAATCAAGTAATTAATAAGTTCATAAGACAAATCTCTGTATTATTGTATTAGGAAAAACATAATATTGGATTATTTTTTTATTTAAGGGGATGAACAATGAGTTATATTCTTTATTTAATTTGTATTTGGAAAAAATCAAATCTTCCCAGGGGTCGCGTAGTAAGACTATTGGCATCTGAGAGAACTCTTTTAATATTCCAAATTACATTTAACATTAGAATCTTGAAGTTTCAGCCAAACCCTAGAATTTATTCAAAATGCTAAACTGTTTTTGGATTTTGAGCAAATAGCAATTAGTTCAAAAGTTATAATATTAAATAAAATTTTATAATAAATAGGAACAATTTATACGTTCTAAACTTGCAAAAAATAAATGTTTTTATTTTGAACAAAAAAGCTGCAACACCAATGCTTTCGTGGGCCTCTTTTCTTATTATTTTACTAATCTCTAACATAATTATCTTTCTTTTTTAAATAGATTTCTCTGTGAGTGTGCATTTAAAACTTTAAAACAATTTTTTAAAAAAAACTAAGAATAAATTATCAAATAAGTTATTAAAATTTCATACTTATTACAATTTGATCACTAATACTTTTTTTGTATTCCCTCAACTATGATAAGCATATATATCTAAGAAATTTGTTTGGGTTCATTTAATATACCCCACATAGAATTTGGAAGAATTTCTTTATAATCTCTCCATCCCAAAAGGTTTTAACATATCAGGACACAAGGATTCGATGCAAATGTATCAAGAAATCTTAAACCCTTGAGCCACTCACATGAAAGCTGTTTTCTAGTCTCTCTAAAGCATGTATGTTGCCTTTGGTTATTATTAAGATTAATCATTAATTAGTTGATATTAGGCTGATTAATTAGTTTATTAATCATAATTGTTTTTGTCTTTTTCTTCATGCTATTATACAAGCAGTATAAGGTTGGTGTTGCCAAAATATGAGAGAATCAGAAAATTTTCTTCTTCTTCTATGTTCCTAACATGGTATCAGAGCCTGTTTTTTAATCAAACAATTTTTAGCTCAGTAATTGAGCTTCAAATTTTAATCCTCAATGGCTAGAGAGCCATCAGATGATTCACAAAACCCCTTCTTCCTTCATAGTGCCGACCACCCTGGATTGGTCTTGGTGTCCAACCTTCTAAATGGCAACAACTATAACACATGGGAGAGAGCGATCAGAATAGCCTTGAACGCCAAAAACAAATTGGGTTTCATAGATAGAACTTACGACCAACCGAACAGTATCGATTCCATTGCCGGAGCTTGGTCATGATGTAATAGCATGGTAACTTCTTGGTTGTTGAATGCTGTAACAAAGAAAATAGCTGACAGTTTATTATACCATGAGAATGCACAATCCATCTGGACAGATTTGAGGCTCTGTTATCAATAAAGCAATGCTCCGCGCATCTACCAGCTAAAGCAGAGCATGAACAACCTTATTCAAGGATCACTCAGCATCAACGCCTATTATACGCAGATGAAAACCATTTGGGACGAGCTCAAAACTTACCAACCAGCTCCAACCTGTCATTGTGGAAACATGAAGGCTTGGAATGATTATCAAGAGCAAGAGTTTGTGATGATATTTTTGATGGGTTTTAATCCTTCCTATGCTACTGTTAGGGCTCAAATCTTGATGATGGAATCTTCGTCATCCATTTTGAAGGTTTTCTCGCTGGTGGTGCAAGAAGAACGACACCGTGCGATCGACTTCGACGCGTGCACAGAGGCGGCTACAGGGTCTGCTTCTTCTGTTGCCCTAGCTCAAGGTCGAAGACGACCCACCTGTTCACACTGTGGGCTCATGGGCCACACTGTGGATGGGTGTTACCGGTTACATGGATATCCACCAGGTTTTAAACCCAAGCCCAACTAGACTATTTTTAATGAAGGACAAGCCCAAGCCCGCAATGTTTCAACTCAATCCAGGCCCGTTCCTGGCACTAAATCATTTAATTCATTTGGGTCTGGGTCCAGGTCTATTTTTTCTTCTGTCAACTGGGTCTCGGCCCACGAACTGGATCCTCTAGGACACATATCTTCTCCTTCTTCCTTGGGCACGCACCCTCTTGTGCGACAGGCGCAGAGTTTCGCCTTTGCCACTGCCTGTTTGCCGGTGCCTGATTCAACTACCTCGGTCGATTCTCTGAGCACGTCGCCAATTCAGGATATTATTGCTCGCCTAAGCACACGACTCCACCAACCGTACTTCGCCACCTCACTGGACAGCTTCTCTCCTCCCACTAACAACACTACTTCTGACATTCACGCGGCAGGTATTTCACCAATCACCTTCTACCTTTCCAGTTTCACACACACACTTACCTCTAAATGCTGGATTATTGACTCTGCAGCCACACATCACATATGTTGCACACCCACCCTCTTCACCACCCTTAAGCATGTTGAACCCATCCCACTTACTTTACCAAATGGTAGTTCAGTGCTAGTCACTCAACTTGAAAATGTGTTCCTCACCGACACCCTAACCCTACATGATGTCTTATTTGTCCCTCACTTTTCTTTTAATCTTGTCAGTGTCAGCATGTTGACCACCACCCACAACTGTACGGTTAATTTTTTTCTTCATTCTTGTGTCATCCAGGACCACACTCGGGACTTGTTGATTGGGAAGGGTAGACGCATTGGCAACCTCTACTACTTAATTGCTAGGCATTTTCATTTTCCCACTGTTAAAGCTATTTCTGCTAATTTTAAAAGTAGCCTATGGCACTTAGAATGGGTCATTATTCATATGTCAAACTTCAGTACATTAATAAAGGTTTACAGATTTCGAATATTTCTCATTGCAAAATTTGTCATTTGGCTAAACAACGTAAATTATCTTTTGTTTCTCACAATAAATTATCTGCTCGTCCATTTGATTTAATCCACATTGATATTTGGGGCCCTTTTTCTACATCTACTATTGGGGGATACAAATACTTTCTTACCATTGTTGATGATTGCACTGCACTACCTGGGTGTATCTTCTTCGTCAAAAGTCGGATGTTCTTACTATTTTTCCTGACTTTTTACACTCTCATCCTTACCCAATATCAAATTTTCATTAAATCTGTGAGATCTGACAATGCGCATGAATTGAGTTTTCATGCATTTTTCAAGTCCAAAGGCATTATTTCTTATCATTCCTATGTTGAGACTCCTCAACAAAACTCAGTTGTCGAGCGCAAACATCAACACATTTTAAATGTGGCACGTGCCTTACTATTTCAATCCCATGTCCCTATTGTCTATTGGGGCGATTGCGTCTTGACCACTGTTTACCTGATAAACCATACACCTTCCCCCTTGTTATCTAACAAAACTCTTTTTGAACTATTAACTAATAAAAAACCATCTTATGATCATTTGCGTACATTTGGTTGTCTATGCTATTTCTCCACTTTCGATAGTCATTGCCATAAGTTTTCACCTCGTTCTAGAGCTTGTGTCTTCCTTGGTTACCCCTCGGGTTATAAAGGATATAAAATTCTTGACATCGAGAGCAATCAAATCATCATCTCTCGAAACGTCATTTTTCATGAACATGTCTTTCCATTTCTTTCATCTCACTCACCTAG